CAGCCCAGCCCCTGGCTTCTTTACTTTTCATTCCATCCAGGAAGAGCACACAGCAACTGCTGAAACTTCCTTAGCCTGATGAAGGGTTTTTGAACCCGAAAGCTTGCTTAATAACTATTCTCCAACCATTTGGGTTGGTCTAATAAAAGATATCAAATTCACCCAAGGAACCTTATCTGCCTATGTCCTTAGGCCAACACGGCTACAACCTAAACCCCTGCAGCATGCTAGGGCTTTTCATTTGAGTCACCCAGATGTCAAACATTTGACTTCTGTGTGAAGAAGCTGATGTGCTTTTTTCTTTAATTCATGAGGCCAGATGGATGGATCTTACTAACTGCAACTGGAATTTAAGAGGAGTTGATCTCACCTCTTAATGGCAACTAAAACCAGGTCATTTAATGCAAACTGGTAGGAATAGTTAAGTGTAAGGGGAAAGTGTTGATGACTTTCTGTTGTTGTTAAATTAATGATACAGCAAAGTTCCAGATAAGTTTGGGCTGTAGCCAGGTGTGTCTTCTGAGATCAGATTTCTAGTCACAACCCCTTTAAAGTAAGTTGTACAAATGGCAAAAATGGGACTAGCTTTGCTTCACCCTTTTTGATTCCTTTTGGTAGTATTATGTATACCAGTGATCTGACTTCTGGCTTGGGCTTGTGTACAAAAATTGCATACTGTCTTGTGAAAATGACATTCCTTTTTGCGTGGTATCATAGCTGGTGGGGAGGAGGGAGGCACCAGCATCAGCGCTCTGGGCACTGATTCATGTTCAGGAAGCCTGTGTTGAGGCAGCAGCAGCCCACCCCACCCCGACAACTGCAACAGCCCCTGCATGAGGGGGAAGTGCTCACTTCCCTTTTCTCTCCTCCTCCCCTAATGCCACCCACAGCACCAGCACTTTCTGTTACACCTCTGTCTTTGCCTCATTTGGGGCCTGAGTCTTCTGGGCTTCTGGGATGTATCACACTCCTGAAGTTAATGGCTATGCACAGAAATTGAAGTCTTCAAGGGAGTAATTCTATGTAAGTGAGCTGCTTTGGGGACTTTTATATTTATAATATTGTTATGTTCTTTTTCACAACTCTCACTCCACTGTTTGGTATTGACTTTTAAAAACAGTTCATGCCAATACGAATTAGCAAAGGCTTCTTTTTCTGAAACCCACATTCAAAACTTTCTATTTAGATAATACCAGCAAAGATGCGCTAGCATTCTGTCATGAAAGCTATGGAACATGATTAGTTCCATACATAACATGTATTAACAGAGTATTGGCTTCATATCAGAAAGATCTCTTCAGACAGGACCAGCCTGCTCCAAATCACAGTAAACAGATCAAATTATCCCAGTTTATACTGGGTCAAACTACACTTTTGGCAAAAAAAAAATGCCATCAAGCTAAGATGGGTCCTAAAATCTGTTCATTCTAGCTGATTTGTTAGCCCATAAAATGTATCACATTAGTTAAATAGTCTGTTCCAAGGACATCCTATAAACTGGGATGGGTGTTACTAAATTTCCACTGAAATAAAATATACAACAGAGTTAATGTTTGATGCTGGGTGAATGTTTTATTGCTAGAAAATATAGTACTTCCTCTTTTTGGCTCTTACTAACTTCATTTTTCTCAGGCTTTGTGGTTGTCATGTCATAGTAAATTTATTCTTCTCTTGAAATGTCAGTGGTTACAAAAATATCTGGCCTATATATTTCTGCTTACAGAAATCAAATGTTGACACTTCTTTTTATCAGCTGTCATGTGATGTTCCACTTATTATCTTCCCTGATCAAACTGATAACAAATTATCATCTAAAAGTTACTTTGTATGCTTAGTTTCTACTAAGTGTCATACATTTTAACTGTTTCTTTGTGCCTTGAATCAGTTTTTGAATGCTTGGAATTTTAGTGCTGCTTCTTGTGTATAATCTGTTTCCTGTTTTACAGTTCTGTGTGTGGTTCTTGCATGGTAGTAATAAGTCTGCTAACTCATTAGAATTCAACTTACACATAATACAAACTATACTATATGTGCCATCTAGCAACTGACTGTATCAAGAATGGCAATGTAAGTGGAGAGATGCACTGTTTGGATAAACTGGATACTGTTTCGGGAACCTGAGGTGCCTGCAAGTTCTCAAGTGGTAAGAATTTCAGCATTTAATCTGCTCCTACCTATTGTACTTCAAAGGCCTTGAGGTGAACCACTTGCATTCAAACTGATAGTATTTCTGCTATATTTTCTTAATATGGAATGGTATGTTCATCACTCCTGTAAATGCCTTAAACCAAGAATGCAGGGGTGTAGGTTTTAGCCGTGTTGGTGTAAGGACATAGGCACCCAAGGAACCTTGTCTGCCTTAAACCAAGAAGGCACTTGACACCTAATTCAAATATATCAGGTGTCAAGGTGTACCACTGTTACAGTTAGTCACCAGCAACAATCCTAAAATTTACTTCTGCAACATGGGCCACAGCACCCTTCAGCCATTTAGTATTTCACCATCTATAATAATTTTTTCCTTTATGAGTCCTGAAATTGTGCTTGTTGATGCCATGCCAGGCTGCTGTTCCATCAGTGATGCTGCAATCTCTTGGCATCAAAGGGGCAAGAGATTAACATCACATATTGTCTCTTGCTCCTCTGCTATACTGCTTATTCAAGTTGCCGTTGTATCGTCTCCACTACTGTTGTTCCTGCCTTTTTCATGTTCCTTAGATCCCAACTATCCAAACTTAAACTGTGTTCAAACTGCATCAGCTTGTTTACTCTCTCATACCTGAAAAGAATATGAATCTGAGACATTGTCCTGTGTTCTTTTTGAACCAAATTCTTACCCATATGTACATGATGAACACAAGGAGATGAAAGCTTGATGCTGTTTAACAGAGAGAATGTACAATAGCCACTATTGATTCTGTCAGACTGGCTTCAGGGCCCTTGTTTAGTATATGGAAATGGAACCTGGCCTTATTTTTCAAGGTGCTGAACACACTTGCCTGTCTTCCACCTCACTGGTATTGGTTTTTCCAATCTATTCCCTCTTCCCCTTAAAAGACTCCTTCATCTTCTCAGCTACTCTGCAGTGAGCACTTGATCCTTTTCCTGCTTTATCTCATTCTTCTAGAAGAGCTTCCTTGCCTATTTGCATCTAATTGACTCTGCTTATTTTCAAATCTAGTTCTGATACTATCTGGTTCTAGATACCACACTTGCACCAGCTTAAATCAAATACATTTAAAAACTGATTCGATTAAACCAATGGAAAATCCCTGGGGTGGACACATTTACCTCAGTTTATAGCTGCTTTCTAGTGAATTTGTTTCTATCAACCAAACACAAAAATTTCATATCAAATATAGTTTAAATGCAGAGAGTTTGATAAAGGAAGCCAAATCATATTAAGTAACTACAAAAAGAGGAGTATTGCATATGAATAATTTAATATATTTGTTTTTCTTTTCCTTCCAGTCTCTTTCCTTTTCTTGGTTCTATAGTAGGAATATTCAGTTTTCCATAAAATTTGCAAAAATATATGGATGCATTACTATGTGCCACAGTTTGTTTGTTTTTTACTAATATCTGCCCTGAATTAGTGGCAGCCACCAGGCCATATTCAAACAGGATGTGATCAAGGCCAAGACCATTGATCTTAATCAGTACTACCGTGTATGTTGTTATTGATTTAAAAAATGCCAGAAATGGATCTGTGAATGGGTTATTTAAGAGTTTACTTTGGAGCAGTCTCTTTGGGGTGGCGGGGGCTAAGTTGACATAAACCACGGTTGTCCAACTAGTGGCCCCTGGGCCCCTGCAGCTGCCTTTCCCACGGCCATGTGGCGAGGGAGGGCCTGGGAGAGTGCTACACACCCCTTAGCAGCGGGTTGGCCGAGATCATGTGCTACATTTGCAGCCTGTGCAGTGCATGGAGGAGAATCCTGGGGGTTTCACAGAGTATATGGCCTGTGCGATGTGCAGCCCAGGGGCCATATACCAGTGCTAAATGCAGCCCCAAGCTGCACTGAAGTGGGACAGGTCGGCTCCAAACCACGAGATAACCACCACCAGGCTCCACCACATTTGACCTAGTATGCTGAGAACCAGTCCCTCTCCTGACAGGGACTCCTGAGAGTTCATGAACTTTGACAGAGGCAACTGGGTTTCCCATTCTGCCTACTTCAGAGCCTCTTTGATTTTGCAGGACACAGTCATTGAACTGACATTTTTTGTGGAGGCTTGGCAGGTATTTTTTCTTTGTAGCCTGCCATTTTATATTACAGATTGCAAAGAAATCCTTTAAACTGGGCACGAGGATAATATGATGTAGTAATGTTTGCCTGAGTCAGTAGACAGAATCAACACCTCTGAGAAGCGTGAATTCCTTCCATACACGTGTTGCCTCTAAAGCCAAATGATTATTTAAACATCGTCATCGTGCATTGTTTCACTGCTGAACGGAGCAGACAAGAAAGACCAGATAATGTCACCATCAGCAGAACAAGCAAGAAGGAAGGACGAAAATGGCATTAAGATCAGCATGCTCTGATGTACTGTACATCGCACTCCTTTGGCAGGTTAGATGGGTGAGACTGGGCTTCTGGGTGGAGCATGGAATAAAGCTAATGCTTTCCCCCCAATTTGGCCTCTGGGGAGACAGAATACAAGCCACTGGTCTGGCAGTGATGTGTTTGTTTCTGGTCAATATGGCATATCCTTAGTCCATGAAAAACAGCACCCTGATTTCTAGAGTTTTCCCCCATACCGATGCTGAGCCGGTAAATGGGATGAGCAGCAATGATCAGGCTGGAATCTTGATGGGACCCTTGTACTTGGGACCCTCAGAAACAAAGATCCATGCTTCCTCCCACAGGAACTGCTTTAGCTGCTCTGTGTCTTTAAGAGACTGACACTATCCCACAAGTGAGACATTATAAAGGCAGGTAATCAGCAGCACTTGGATCAAAGAGCTGAGAGCAAGGCAGAGCACAGCAGCCTGCATAATGACGGGTCACCACTGCTGGGGATATGGGGAGGATGACGGTAGGTTGCAACCCTCACCCCCAAACCTCATGCATCTCTGTGTCCTCTCTCCTCCCACCCTCATCTCTTCCTCAGTTCTCTTGGCTAACCCCCGCAGACCTGGCTGTATTTCACTATCTAAAGACATCATATATATGCAGCAGGTTATTAACAAGTTAACCGATAATAAACATCCTCCAAAAATGGGAACAAGGAAATGCACAAACTTCTGCTGCTCACTTGCTGTATTCAGCAAGCACAGTCACGAACTGGGTTTCAGCAACCTGCATCTTTCCTAGGGGGAGAAGGAATATTGCTAATCTTCAGTGATTGCAGTTATTTTAGGCATATCCTCCCTAAAAAGATGACAGCAAACAGGATTAGCTGGGGTTTTGTGTGTGTGTGTGTGTGTGTGTGTGTGTGTGTGTGTGTAAAATCAATCCCTTGCGTAAAGGAGATTTAGTGTAGCAGTAATGGACATTCTGATTCCACAGAGCTGACTAAAATGTGATATCCGTACTCCCACTGAGCTGACTGAAGTGTGGTATCCATGCTATAGATATTTCTTGAATATCAAAAAACTGTACAGGTAAGTATTAAATATTGGAGGCTTTTTATAATAAACAAGTTGTCCTGTGTCCTTCTGATTTGACAACACCTTTAATGTAGAGTCAGTCTCCTTCTGCACCTCCCACTCTCAAAAAAGTGTGTGTAGGAGAGATCGAATGTGGAGCCTTTAAAGCCTCCTACTGCAGCGTTTTACAATATTTATATCTTTGCAGCGAATGGATGGATAAATGTTTGGTGTTATCCTAGCAAGTGTGCAAGTTTCTATATGACCATGTTCTTGCAGGAATTGCTTTAGCTGCCCTGTGTCTGAGTGAAAGCTGGATAGCTCTGCTGATACCATTTGTATGTCTGCTGTATCAACGCAAAGCTGACAAGGAAACACAAGTATATTACATTGATCTTCAGTCAGTAGAATTTCAAAAATATATCTTTAAAAGCTTCCCTTAGATGGAGAAAAGGAAAGTAAATAGTTTATAAGCCCAGTGCTTGGTGCCTGACAGAGACCAACATAGTGTGTCACATTGCATCTTGTAATTCTTTTACACCATGCCTGATTAAAATGTTTCCACTCTTCAACAAAAACAAGAATGCTAGAGTTAAAATTGTGTTCGGGTGAACTGTAATATATAAAACTGTAAAACATGTATAACTTTCCCAAAGCAGGGAATAGAAGAATTAAGTTGCTGTATTCACTTTAATAAAAAACAAGTTGAAAAAGAGTAAATGGTATAGTTTTATCATCTCAAATGGCATGAGAATATTGCAGTGTCAACAACAAAAAAAAATGCCTGATTAAACTGGTCTTTCACCCCACTAGGCTGGGTCAAGTCCAAAGGTGTTGATAATCATATGGGTACTGCTCATTTAGAGTTGAGAGATACCATAATCGGTTTAGGGAGTAGTGAGGACTGTCTTGAAAAGATTTATTGCAGTCATAAAATGGATTTAAAAATAAACACATAGTAGCTGAGAGATTATGAGTCATATGCATCTCATTTCAATCAGCAGAGCATTAACCACTGTCTTACCTAGGAAAGCTTAAAGCTTAAAGTGTGTGTGTGTGTGTGTGTGTGTGTGTGTGTAAAATAATAAACAGGGAGAAAATCTTCAAATGAGTCTGTGTTGGAATAAATTCAGAATTGCACTTAATTTCTACAGAAAGCTGGGGGAGGAAATAGATCTTGAGGTGCCTGTGAATGATTTGTGTTCTTTTCAGCCTGTTTGGTATAAAATAGCTAAATTATCACAAAATTGGTAACTGCTCTGTAAGGAATTGTAAAATGCAACATAATGCAAAGCATTTCAGGTAACTCCTTAGATGACAAATGATTTCCACTGATCATGGCATTCATGTCATATCATGTCCTAAACACCTGTAATGATGGTTTTAGATCTATGGCATCCATAAAGTAAGACTGTTTTCCCTTCCCCTTCATTTTAAAGGGCCTTCTGAATGGTACAAGTCCTATCCTATTGCTCAGGGAGATCGTCAGTCACCTATTGATATAGAGTCCACAAAAGCAGTCTATGACCCTCATCTGAAGCCTCTCACCATCTCCTATGAATCGAGTACATCTCTTAGCATCTCCAACAATGGCCACTCAGTCATGGTAGAGTTTGAAGATGCTGATGACAAGACAGGTGAGTGTTACATGCTGTGAATGCTTGTGTCAGACTACAAATGACTCATATTTTTGCACCTTCTTAGTTAGGAAGGTGATAAAATTCCTTCCTTGAAGTAAAGGTTGAAGCCAGTATTGAATTTTACCCCTGTTTAAATCTTCTGACAGAATATCTGTGGCATTGCTAGACTCAGGGTATATGATCTTATCTGCTTGCATTTTGTTTAACCATATTCTTGGGCCTGAATTTTTTACTATAGAAATATGACAGAGGCTTATGAGGCAGGACTGAGTCTCTCAGTCTCTCTTCCGAGTGCCTATTTCTGCATGATACGTAAAAATGGAGTCTGGGGAGAAGCAACTCCGGAGGAACCATCACAAAGGGAAACTTTGGTTTTTCCAAGGGAAGGGCTGTCACCTGGGATGTTTGGACCTCCACGTGGTTCTCCTGCACTCTTGCTGATATCAGTTTCTCAGCACATTTGCTTGGTGTCTTGCCCCTCATCCTGTTGGCTGCATGGCTTCTTCAGAAATGATATGATCTTTCTTGTCAGGTCTACTTAGGAGTCAGACTGAACCTGTTGTATTACCTGCGGCTGCCTTTTAGTGTTCACCCTCAACTCCCAGAATAGCAAATGTTGATACTGTAACCAATAGATTGTTCTCTTTTCCATCTAACTCTGATTCATTCACAGACTCTCCCAACTACGTAAGTGGGCTCGCTACACCAGGACTGTTCGACTTCTAAGTCCCCAGCAGCCACAAGCCATGCAGGTCACACCAGGGGTGCCCCACAGACACTCACCCCATCCAACACGCAGCCCCCACCACTACACCCAATGTCCCCCCACTCCATGTGGGTGTGTAAATGTGATTCCCTGCTCCTGCAGTAATGCATGCCTGTGAGGGCAGCTTCCCCCACCCACTACAACTGCATGAGTGACCTAGATACACCCTCAGCTCCCTCTGCTGCCACACTGGACCACCCGCTGGGGCAAAGGCAGGAAACAGCAGCTAAAGGAGGGAGGGGGAAGCCTGTAGCTCTTGTCACGGAAGTAAGTGAGAAGTGGCAGCCAGGTGAGAGCCCTAGGGCTTACATATAAATCCCTTGCTGGCCATCTGTGGCCTGCAGGCCATCAGTGGGACAGCCCTTCAGTACACAAACCTTGCTTTTCTCATGTCCCTGGATTGTTAAGGCTACAACAATAACATTAAACCTTCACTTACAGAATGGCATTAATTTGAAACAACAGTCGTGATCAGTAGCAAGAGACATTTATGTAACTGGCCTCTGATTAGCCAGTTTGCTTTTATGTTCTTTATGTTAGTAAGTAGTGGGGCATCCATCAGTGTAGGGGCTTGTGCTAAGGCCTTAGTTTAATTGGATGTGTTGGATACTCAAGCCCTTTGTTAACGTGGCTGGGAAGTGAGCCTGCGATGACCTGAGGAATGCTGTGTTGCCTTGAAGTAATCCCATAAGATTGTCTGAGCATTATCAGGTGTGGGTTTAAATTACAGTCACTAGATCTCCTTTGAAAAAGAAAAATAGAAAAAATAAAACCTAAGGACAAGCAAACAGCTCCGCCAATGACACATTTTCAAGTGTATTTACTGATCTGTACAGAAAGACAGTGGATCTGCATTCACCGAAAATCAGCTGCTTAGAGATCAACTCACAAACTGGCTTTTTTAAGTGCATTTGCAACAGTTACCTTCAGAAACAATTCCCCTGCAATTGTCAACAATACTTTGCTCCTTTAATAGTGACATTCATCTAGCTTCAGAGGGCTTGGAGGAGAGTGCCCTGTACTGCTGTAGTGCTGTCCCAGTGTAGTGTTGTCAGCCTCTTGTGCGCTATGCCAGGGTTGATGTCAGGACAGAGGAGAGCTGCTGGAGAGCAGATTTGGGAGGGAGGCTATTCAGGCTGTCCCTGCATAAATCCAGTGACTCACAACCTTTGCACAGAGGGCACTGCAGAGCTCTTTCTGGAGAGGAGGAGGAAGAAGATGTATTTCATTCATCTTACCAGCTTCCAGTTGGCCCCAGTTCAGCAAAGCGTGTAAGAACATGCTGAACTTAAAAAATGTAATTAAGTCCCATTAAATTCAGCACATGTTTTAAGTGCTCTTTTGTATAGAAGCTGATTTAATGTACAAAGTCCACCTTGACCTGTGGTTGGGTTGTAGAAAACACCTCAAAATTATCATCTGCATAATACCTAGTTCAGAGATGATGATACTATGAACAGTGAAATAAATCCATAACATGGAAAATTTGTAAACAGATAAAATGTTCATGACAATATTGTAGCTTGAAAAAGGACTATGTGGTGGTTAGTATTTTACAGACATTGTGCCCTTTATTTCAATTGAAGATTTAGACTATTTGATTTTAAATCCTGTTGGACAGAAACAATCTATTGTCCCATCTCCTTAAATCACAAAGGAGTTACTAGAATGCAAATGAGATTTCTATTTAATGAATGTATTTGACATCCCCTGGGTATTAATGGACACTGTTTAATCAAAGTATTATTTTAAATTTATTAAAAATTTTAAAAGTTTGCATATACTTTCTTCATATCTCTTTTCTCCTCCTTTGTAAAGTAAGAACCTTTGGTGAAAGGTACAAGATATTGCATTACCTTCCCTTACCAGGATCAGGTATTGACAGAAAACTGAATATAAGGAACTTCCATTAAAGAGAAAAGCAACTCTAAAGACAAAATACTTCAGATATCTATAACTATAAAATTGCATTGTCAACAGCTTCTCTTCAGTTTCCCCTCTGCCCCCACATTATACAAAGACTCAAGGAGCCTTATAATTCTAAAGATTTAAAAGCATATACAATTATTTCACAGACTGATATTTGTAATAATAAAACATGTTCAGTTTTCTGAATGTCACTAGGAAGAATTGTTTAACGTCAGCACATAACTGTTCAATTCTGTTTTCTCAGATTTACATTTCCAAAGAAAACTCCCAAATCATGTAAACTTCTATATAAATTGCTACCTATACTATAAAATGTTTCTCTGATTAGCATAAATCTTTTTGTTAATTCTGATATCATTTATGAGGAAAACTCAACAGCCTTACCCACCTAATCTGAAACTCTTAGAGAGAGTAACTTCCTAAAATAGGAACATCTCTTGAGAGGTGACACAGGAGATTTGTGAGTTTCCAACAGGTCCAGACTACTGGTCAAACACACCATTAATTTGATTTACTGACCCTTCAGTCAGAGATTAATTTACTTGCATGTTATTAATTCTAAAGTGCTCGAAGCCAAGATGCAGTGTTTTCTTTGTATTTTGTTAATTCCAGCTATGGATTCTGTCCTGTATATGTATTTAAAAAATCCTATTGTCTATTAAGAGATGTTGTTTCTGTATTGTTGTTCATCCTAGTTTCTCCAGTCATGGATTTAAAAACATATTTTTTTATATTCCTTTCTCTGTTTCTATTTACAGTGGTCAAAGGAGGGCCACTTGAAGGTTCCTATCGGCTAAAGCAGTTTCATTTTCATTGGGGGCAGAAGCACAGTCGGGGATCAGAGCATACAGTTGATGGCAAACCTTTTCCTGGTGAGGTAAGAAGTTCTTCACACAATTTAACTAAAAAAGGAGATGCAAATGCTGTATCCCAACAACACTAGCACTCAGAACAGTTTGACTCTAGATCTGAATTCTTGCAACTTGGTCCTTCCTTGCATTTAATCAAACAATGCATTGTGTATTCATTAATACACAGGCTATCTGTAAGCCATTACTCTTTATCTACAGTAGGGATGGGAAGCCTTCCCTTACCTAGTAAACATTCCCAGGTGGGATACAGTTTCACTAAAGGTATGACACGAGTGCACAAAACTACTGGAAAAGATTAGCCAGGCATGGAGAAGAGCTTGCAGAAGGTGAACTCACAGCCAGTTATCCAATAGATCTGGGTATTGGGCTATCAGTGGTATTACCATAAATGATTATTTAGCTCACAGGCCCCTACATGGCTACTGGCCTGTTGTTTATCTCCTGGTTAATACAGGTTATATAGGGTATGTGAATACTTCAGTAATGCATGGCTGAAGCCTATCTTCTAGACTGTGGCTAAAACCTTCCAAACTAATATGGATACCAGCGGTGGATCCATGGGGGTGTCACACCTCTGTTGCTGCCAGTTTGCTGCCAAGAGCTTCAGTCTTGGCTGTTGGACACAGGCGCAGTGAGCTCTCTGCTGCTACTG